CCGCCACGTCCACGTCTGCAGGCCTCCTCAGCCCCATCCACATCAAGCACTCCGGTCTCTCTCAATCCCACCCTCCCCCGCTGTTTCCCTCAGCCCCGAGCCAGCTCAGCAGCGCTTCCCACTCCCCCAGTCTCCCCCTACCACCTCCGCTCCTCCCACAACTTCCAGTCCACACCACCAGCTCCTCCCACAGCCCCCACTTCAGCACCAGAAGCTCTTCCCCCAGCCCCCAGCCCACACCCCAGCACCAGCAGCTCCTCCACAGCCCACACCCCAGGACAAGCAGCTCCTCTCAGAACAATGGAAACATAGGTGTGTGCCCACCCAGGACGGACAGAATGTCCACAGCGGCACCCTCAAAACCCCCAAACTGGAGACTAGCCAGAAATCTAGGAGCAAAGTGGAGAAATGTCATGTATGGAATGGTGTGTGGAAATGAAAATGACTAATGATGAATCTCATAAACATCATATTGAGCAAAAGAAAGCAGGCACAGAAGAACATGTCCAGTGTGATCCTACTCACACAGTACAGAAGCCGCCTGCGCTGCCAGCAGCCACCCTTGGGGATAGCGGTGATGGAGGGGCCTGCGGGGTGGCCTGCAGGGTTGCCTGCGGGTGCCAGTGACGTTCTAATTCTCACTCTCGGTGCTGGTAACAAAAGTGTGTCCGCTTTGTGAAAACGCATTGAGCTCAATGCTTGTGGTAACATCACTTTCTGTGAGCTATACTTCAGTAGAGTTGTATGAATGACGTCCTCCCGCCCCCCCCCCCCCCCACACACACACACTCAGTGCCTAGCACAGCCAGCAGTGCACAGCTCCTGTACAAACCGGTCCCTCCCCTGAGGAGCTCCTCTCCAACCCCCACCCCCATGCTGGAGGCGGGCCTCTCAGGTGCCATAGTGGGCCTCCTTCCCTCTGTGGCTGCTGTTTATGTGTCTGCACCTGGGATGTGTGTGGGCTTCTTAGAGACAAAAACTGTTTCCAGCTACGGTTGTACCCTCAGAGTCTACTTAACACAAAATTAGGCCTTCATGAAAGGAAGGCCTCAAGCAAGTGTCTGCTACACGGAGACGGCGGAACGTCAAGGGCCAAGACAACCATGCTGTTGGCGAATCCAGTCCAGAACCTCCCTCATTCCTGGTGCTGGCGCCGGGGTGTGTGCAGGGGGTTTGTACAGGGGTTTTGAGCAGGGGTGTATGCAGGGTGTGTGCAGGTTTGTGTACAGGGTGTGTGCAGGGTGTGTGCTTGGGTGTGTGCAGGGGGATCGTGCAGGGGTATGTGCAGGAGTGTGTGCTGGGATGT